ATATATAAACATATAAACTATCTCGATGAAATTATATTAAAATTCACTAATAATTAAAGAAATTTAACTTATCTCTAGCATTATACTAAATGAATGACATACTAATAGTTGAATAAGATCATCTTGACGACCATGATAAGAACAAATTTTTTTATTTAGTAGAAAATAATTAAATGAACTATGAATAAGGAAAATACATTAAAGAGAATTTAGGTTCAACATGCTTGTGTAAACTTTCTATTTTTATATTCCAAGATCGTCGCGCTCATATGATCATTGACGGACGAAGAATAAGTTTTTTCTTTGAGATGTAAGCAAATCAAAATTCATAAATGAATGTTTAACTATGTACTAGTAATAAAGGTAAAGAATTCTTGATAGTATCATAAATTTAAGTTTTGGATTATGTCAAGATATTCCTTACCTTATATTTCAATAAAAAAAGGATTGTAGCCAGAAACGTAAATGCATAAAAGTTAAGTAAATCCACCTAACTCAACTTGGATAGCCTCAAGTGGTACCTCTAAACCTTATAAATACCTTGCGTAGTTTACAATCGTCAATTGCAATAATAGTATACTTACATCCTCTCATCATAATCTCCATTATCTTCTTCTCAATTTGTTGAGGTTATCTTTTGTTATTTTCAATTTTAGCAATGGCAGATGAGGGGACATCAAGTAAAAACAAAGGTCGTCAAAAGATCGAGTCAAAAAAGATGTAGAATGAAGCCAGTCTCCAAGTTACCTTCTCAAAACATCGAAGTAGCCTTTTTAAGAAGGCGAGTGAACTTTGCACCCTTTGTAGACCAGATGTTGGCCTTATTGTTTTCTTTCCTGGAAATAGGGCCTTCTGCTATGGCAATCCTAATAATTATATTGTGATTGATCGTTTTCTTAGTATTGATGTTCGTCCAGCTCGAGATCCTGACAACGACAATGATACTCAAGAAACAATCAGTAAGATCACTGAGGTGTTAGCAACTTATTTGTTATCTTTTTTTTATAATATCCATTTATGATAATCCAAAAATTATCATGAGTCACTAATACTTAAATCTATGACGTTACGTGATATATTTTGAATTTTTGGTTGGACTTTCAAATCTTTAGCCTAATTACTTATCTAATACTGCAAATACATGAATATGTGTATATGATAACAGGCTCAAGACAAGGAGGAGGCAGCAAGGAAGAGAGGTAAAGAGCTCAAACAAAGAAGAAAAGGCTTGATGAAAGAGCTTTGGTATACGCGTTCAATGGACAAATTCAACCTGGAAGAGCATGAAGTTTTGGATGCTGGTATGAAGGCCTTGTGGAATGATGTTGCCGAACTTGCAAAGAAGCTAAAGAAGGAACAAGGTACTCGAGTTCAGTTGAGGGTTCTCCAAGGGATGACGGGATGTTTTACTCAGATCCAGCAATGAAGGCCTTGACTACTCTCCCTATGCCTAGTATGCCCTGCAACCCAACTCATGAATATGCCCCCAGCAGTACTAATTCAACTCCTCCCCTGAGTAGCTTCTGTAACCTAGACTCTGGCAGTCCCAACATAATGATGATGGATAACCCATTGAATGATTCAAGCATAGCGTTAGATCCTATTGATGACTTGAAGGCCATGCCTAGGGATCTCTTCAATAATTTAGTCATGATTGAGTTAGATGATCCAATTGCAGCACTTAATGCAGGAGATAATCCAGACATAATTTCTGATGCCTTCGGGAACCAAATTGCAACAATGGATATTAATCTGTCAAATGATCCAAATATCGGGCCTAATGAGTTTTTTAATCCGAGTACTATGCCTCATGCACCAAATGATCCAATTAGCACAACATCATATGCTCTAAATATGATATGTATTGTGCCAGATGATTCAAATCTAGACTCAGTATTTGATGGCTTCACTCTAGAGATGCTGTTTGCGGATCCATTGGATGATGAGAACTTCATTGTGGACAATCCAAATGAGGCGGCTAACGGTGATAATCTGAAAACAATGCCACCTCCTCTTGCAGGGAATGTTCTAGGAAGCGGCCAAGGATTTTAATGACTAAGTTTGTTGATTATCTTGAAATGAATCAAGGGCTAGTTTGAAGAGTTTCAGTATCGTATCTTTTGTTTTTTTTTGTCTTGTCTTTCAAATAATGATTTGGGAATTTGGGATTTCAATTGGCTTGAGTTTTGTATTTGCTTACTTTCAGGTGGTGTTCTTGTGTGTGCGTGTGTGTGTGTGTTTTTTTTCTCTTTATAAATGTTGTCGTTGTTAGTCTTGGATCGAGTTAATAAGTATATGTGTATTTCATGAGTGTTGTTTATTTTACATTCTTGTTAAGTACAATTCCGCAAATCTTTAAAAATATTTAATCTTCTATAATCACCCTATAAAGTACATTTATATGATAGTTCCGTCTCTTTATATATATGTGTGTATGTATATGTAACACCCAAAAATTGTATTTTTATTATTTAATATATTTTAATTTTATTCTATTTTAATATTTAATTTATAAGATTTTAATTTAATTTAATTTAATTTAATAGAAATAAAAATAATAATAGTAATAAAATAGGGTAAAATTATTTTTGGGATTTAATTGAAATTGATTTTGGGAAAAAGAGGCGTAAATTTGGATTATGGGGGTGTTTTTGAAAAGAAAATCGAAAACTGGGGGTCAAAACGTAATTTAAAAAAATTGTGCCATGTCAGCAGCCACGTCGGCAGCCCAGTCAGCAGCCCCAGCCAACCAGAACACGCCGCGTGGCAAGGAAGCCATCGCGGGAGGCCACGCAGGACGGAGCCACGTGGGCGATCTCACGCATGCAGGTACGGCCAGATCTCACGTGATCGAACGGTCCAGATCTCATGCATGCGGACGACCTAGAATTCACGCGCACGGATGGCCCAGATCTCACGCGTGCGGACGGCCCAGATTGACACAGTGTGTCCCCTTGGGGTGCCGGAGTCATTTTTGCCAGGAAGGGAGATGGAACATTAAGACTATGTATTAATTACAGAGGATTGAGCAAGGTTACAATTAAGAACAAATATCCCCTTCCCAGGATTGATGACATCTTCAATCTGCTGCAGGGTGCACAGGTCTTCTCTAAAATAGACCTGCGATCAAGTTACCATCACGTGAAGATAAGAACAGAAGACATCCTCAAGACGGCCTTTCGAACCAGGTACGAACACTATGAGTTCCTGGTCATGCCATTTGGGCTAACCAACGCCCTGACAATCTTTATGGATCTGATGAACAGGGTCTTTAGAGAGTTCTTGGATCAATTTGTTATTGTGTTCATCGATGACATCTTAGTCTACTAAAAATGCAGAGAAGAACATGCTCACCATCTTGCCCAAGTTTTGCAGGTCCTCAGAAAAAGAAGTTATATACAAAGTTGAGTAGTGTGGATTCTGGCTTGAGCAGACCGCCTTCCTAAGACACATCATATCAAAGGAAGGAGTATCAGTAAATCCCAGAAAGGTTGAAGCGGTACTTGGCTGGGAGAAGTTGACATCAGTTAAGGAAATCCAGAGCTTCCTGGGGATGGCAGGTTATTGCCACAGGTTCGTTGAAGGATTCTCCATCCTAGTAGCTCCTCTAACCCAACTCACAAAGAAGAATGCCAAGTTTGAGTGGAATGAGGACTGAGAAAGGAGTTTTTCAGAATTAAAGAAGCGGCTGACTACTGCACCTGTACTGGCTTTACCGAGTGGATCGGGGGGGTATACAGTTTATACTAATGCCTCCTATCTTGGCTTGGGTTGTGTCCTGATGCAGCATGGGAAGGTCATAGCATATGGGTCCAGACAGTTAAAGAATCATGAGAAGAATTATCCCACCCATGACTTGGAGCTTGCCGCAATCATACACGCCTTAAAAACCTGGCGCCACTACTTATACGGAGAGACCTTTCAGATCTATACTGATCATAAGACTTTGAAACACATATTCACTCAGAAGGATCTCAACATACGTCAGAGAAGGTGGATGGAACTCCTTAAAGAATATGATTGTGATATCTTATACAATCCGGGTTAGGGCAACGTGGTAGCAGACGCTCTCAGCAAGAAAAGTATAGGTATCTTAACCCATTTGATTGTTTCAGAATGCAGGAAAATTGGGGCCACACAACAGGTTAGACTTCAGGACCTGAGGAGAGTCACATGTTTGGGTCGCCTGACAGTCCAGCCCGAGTTAATCCAAAGAATATGATGCCTCATGTATTAAACGACCCAAACACGATACCTAATGTGCTCAACGATAATCCCAATATATATATTCAAGGAAATGGAAAAATAAGATTCTACTAAGTGCATTTCTTGACTAAGTCTCGAAAGGATGAAATTAAAAAGAGTTGTAAACACAATGCTTGCAGTTTGTTTTATTTTGTTTATGTTAGATATCTGATGCCTTAGCATTTGGGTTTTCATCATGTTCCTTTTCATTGTAGCGTTGTGGTACTTTAAAAGAGTGCAATAATAACATAATTTTTTTATCTATGCATTTATTTTTATTTTCAAGTTGAAATCAACCCGCTATTCTAAGAGTTGTAATAGGAGAAAATATTTTAAGTAATTTATTTTTAACTCATTAACTCAAGACAAAGGTAACATCTAAATATAAGAAAATAAAATATTAAAGTCACATTATCATGCTTCGATAAGAACATGATCATCTTTGGGAATACCTTCAATTATGTCATATTTATGCGAGTTAGTTTTTACATTGACAATTATGAGTCTATTTTTGAATAAGTACTTGTGTCGGTTAATTAACTAATATACACACATTAATTTTAAAATAATATAAATAACATTTAATTAAAAACATACAAGGAAGTACAATCTCTTGTACAAGAAGAAATATACCAACTATTCAGTTAAATAATGGTTGGTATAAGTCATATCTTGAGTTAATCTGAAATACAATAAATGAAATGAATTAACTATATGGTAATTATGCATCCATGGACAAACTACTAAATTTCATGATCAAATTTTTATACATTGTAAGAGTTGTGATATATTTATTAGATGACACTCTTGGTGACATGTATGTTCATCCAATTTATTGATGCGATAAATAAATCATGATGATGAATGAAAAGTGTTTAGTCATAATAAATCAATTATATTGGTTAAAGTCCTATAAATATTTAATACTAAGCCTATATGGGCCACATGCATAAGCTCCAGCTAAGAAAATTCTATTAACACATAAATGCTAGCTAAGAAAATTCTACTAGGCTCCAGCTAAGAAATAAATCAATAATGAAATTAGGTAATATTCAGGGAAAATATTTTATTGAGAGTGCTTATCTAAGTATGTAAACATATCTATATATTTGGGAATATATCCCAAGTAGGGATAATATCTTCATTAAATGTTAAGTATGTAAACAAGGAAGATTTTATATTAGGACCAAATAATATTAAATAGAAATTTTCAATCAAATGGATCAAAGAAATTGGATTTTGTTTAAGCAGGCTCAAGTTGAAGTGTTATACAAATAAAATAATTGTAAGTCACCTTTTAAAAGTACTCAACATGAATTATATGAATTTCAAGTTTAATTGAATATCACATGCAATCGAATTAAAACTTTATTGTTATGAAGGTTAATCGATTGTCACAATTAAATTTAATTATTTAAAACTTTGAATTTTAAATGTGATCCAATTGATAGTTACAATTTGCAACTTAGATCCTTCCTTAATGCTTATAAATAAATTAAAATTATCCATTGTACTAATGATCAATTAATTTTATAAAGAATTCATCATAGTTTTTAAATTTTAATATATCCTATAATACATTTTTATATTTTTTATTACTTTAACATAAATAATTTAAGGATTTTTATCATTGCAATTTGATTCATTGTGTCTCGTAACAAGAGACAAATAAATAAAAATAAAAGTAGCTCTCTTACCTTCTCAATCCCAAATTAATATCGAGAATATATATGCATATATATAACATAAAAAATGTAAAATTTTCAAGAAGGTTCAGTTTTCATATATATCCATCTAGCTATGTATCTATAAATATTTCGGTTTTTCGTGATTTTTTGGCCCACCGAGGGCCCTAAGGTTGTTTTATCACAGGGACCGATGCAAGTGTGGCCGAATTCGGCCGAAAACGGCCAACCCGAGGCGAATCGCCGCTGCTGTCGCCGGAGCACGGCGGAGCCGCCGTGCCGGAATTGCGATATTGGTCGAAAGTTGGGATTTTTTGGGACATGTGCAGGTACCGGTAGTGCGTTTTAGTTTTCCGAAAAAAATTCAGGAAAATTAGGGACAACTTGTAGGCGCACTGTAGAGCCGTATTTAGACCCCGAAACAAGTAAGGACCCCTCACCCTATTTCCTATCACGGTATTTCATGAATTAATAGATGTGTGAAATTATTTAATTGATAAATGGATAATGTGGACAGCTTGACTAGATATCCTGGGAGATGGTGGATGGACCGGGTCCGTAGGGAACCCTACCGGGAACGTGGTCTCTCATACCGGACGGGGTATGGAGACCTTCTGTGTTTTGGCATCCATATCGGACGGGGTCTGGGGACGGCCCGTTTCACCCTCATACCGGACGGGGTATTGAGGTTCATGGTTTTGGTGCCCATACCGGACGGGGTATGGGGACGGCTCTGGAATCAGGTTATAAATGTTAAGGGTTCACGGGTAGCGGGACCCCTATGGATCCTCATGGATACTAGTAAGCTAGTAAATGAGGAGATTGTGTTGTTTAATGATTGAAATGCAAAGGCGTGGTAAGTATTATGTTATACAGTTCATATGATTTCATGATGATGATAATGTTATTGCTTTCATATGTTGTTTTATGGATCTCACCGAGGTAAGTGGACAGTAAAGGTTTTTATGTTAATAAACGAGTTTATTATAAATTATGCTCCATTGGTCTTTTTTGTGTTTTCTACCCACCTTTACCTCCGTGGCGGTGAGATAGTGTGATGTCTTTACTGGGCTGGTGTAGCTCATTCCTTATTTAACCATTTCAGATCAGGAAGACGTTGTT